ATGTAATAATAAATTTATGAAAAACAAATATTTGAACTTACCAAATTAAAAGTTTTAAGTAACTGAATTCAAAAAATTTTTAACAGACAAAATAAAATGAAATAAAAAACTTACCAATTGAAAATGTTGACGTAACCAAAAACGAAGGCAAATTAATCAAATTTAAATCAAAAACTTACCAAATTAAAATTGTAAATAAATGAAAAATTAAATGAAAACCTAAAAATTGAAAAACAAAACGAAACCCTTTTTTAAACGAACTTAAATCAATAACAAATTCATTTTCATAACAAAAACACGCCTGATATTGGCAATATAGATCGTTAAAAATTTCACAATTTTACATAGTTTACTTTTTTTTTTTTTTTTTTTTTAATTTTTTATGATTACGAATTTTATATCTTTTTGTTTTTGTTTAATTTTTTTTTTGTTTGGAAATTTTTAACAAGCATATTGTTAGACCAACAAATTTATAGCTTTCATAACGAAAAAACAGCAACAAAACTGAAGAGAAAAATGAAACTAAAAAGGCACAAAAAATTGAAGTGCAAGTGGAAGATATTGTCGTAATGCCTCTCTCTGAATATAATGTATATTTAAGATATAGTTTTTTTTAAGATGATTAATGTTGGTTATGGTTGATATAAGCAACAAGTAAATGATCCGAGCTTCATTGCCAGCAATTCTCCAGATGCGATGTTTAATCTTTAAAGATGGGTTTTCTGGTTGTAGCTTGCGCTACGTTAGTTTGTAAGTAGATGGAATTTATTTATTTATCCATTTATATTGGAGTGATCCGTTTGTGAACTATCTGAATTTGTAGTTTCCGGAAATTGTAGTAAGTTGTGGAGATTTTAGTTGATTATTTGTTTATATATTTCGTTTGCGGTATTTTCTTGAAGATTCCTGAAGATTCTTGATTGTGGTTGTATATTTATTTTTTTTTTTTTTTATTAAAAATTTATTAAAAATTCAGATATGTTGTAGAATATTCCGGAAATTTCTGATAAAAATGGTCTTTTCTTATTTTTTGTTGTAATTTGTTGAATATTTGTATTATGTATAAATATATATAAGTATATATTATATATTCTTGTATATTATTATTTGCATTGCTTTTGCAGCGTTAGTTTGTTGAACAGTTTTATTGGTCTTGTTGAAGAAATTCTTTTATATGGTCCAGACATTTCTTTGTTATCTTTTGATCAACAATTTGTTTAAATTTGTAATATTTTTTCATTCATTTCCAGCGATCATGTTGTAAATTCCAGATATTTTTTTATATTTTGCAGAAGACTTTATACATTTGTTTAATGATTTTTCTTAATTATTTTGTTTAATTTTCTTGCATTTTCTTTGCAGCGATCTTTTTGTATAAATTCTACAAATTTGTATAGTCAATATTGTTAAAGAATTTCTTCATATTGATTATCTCTTCTTCAATCGCCTTCAATTTCGCGCAGCTATGGTTAAATTTGCTTTATTAATACAAGGCCCAACTCAAAGCCATTATATGTACTTACAGTATTTGCGATCACATGCAACTAGTGTTTAACTGTACTTGGAAGGGCCTCTCAAACTGGTTTAGTTTTAAACTGTACTTTAGAGACACTCAACTTGGGTTAGCCGCCACCAGCAGATGGTGGCGGCCCAGCGTTAATTCACTGTATAAAAGAACTTTTTTTTTTCGATTTAAAACTTTTGTTCTTCACTTTGTAAAACTCCAGAGAGAACTGTGCCGCCGCATGGATCAGTGCGAGTATTTATAGCTGAGCTGAAGTAAACAACCACCACGAAATGCAATAAAGGTTCCGCTCAACAATTGAAAATACTTTCGCACGCAGGCGTGCCCCGTTTTGCCGGTGGCCTGCGTGCCGTTAGGTCATAACAACGGAGGAGGGTTCAAGAAATACACATGTGTGTGTATGCTATATAGGGGAATGCATTGAAATGGTAATGTTTATGCTGGTATTCGAGATCCCTCGAGTCGTTAAGTGGTTGTGCTGGTGGTGGGTAAATGCCACCACCACCACAAGAYATGCACACGCACAAGATCTATGAGCAGTTGGGGTGCCTGAGAACTGGGAACTGGGAGCTGGGAACTCGAGCAACCAGTTGATATCGTTTCACAGGGCCTATAAATCAGCCAAGATTTACACGAATTAGTTATCCTCGGAGCAAACTTCGAGAACTCCTTAACTTTCTCACGCTTGACTATGCGAACTAGAAACTGTGAAGGGTCGAGTTCGTTTTTTGGCAAGTTTTTAGGGTGCAGTAGATAGTAGGGTTGACATTTGGCTACCGGTGGGCAAGCGACTGACTTTTATGCTGGTTGCCCATGGCGAGTAGCTACTGTAGCATGCGGGTCAAACAGTGGGCTTCGCCGTGCAGCCGAGCAGCTGCTTAGCTGCCTACAAGCAATCGATACTAAGGTACGACATTATTAAATATATTCGACTCGAATGCTACTTTAACGATAAGCAAACTCTTATCAGTATACGAATGTGATAACACGCCCAATTTCATATTTAACCCAACCTGTTAATCAGTTCTCAATTGCCCGTCCACCGGTTGTGATCGCCAAGTGATTTTTGTATTTTCGGAGAATGTTTCGGCTGTCGTATCGACCGAGAGTGCAGCATGTCTTATGCCTTATGATATTTATTTATTTATATTTACTCTTGGAGCACTTTATACTTCAAGTGAGTGCTTCAATTGACATATATTTGATAGAGAAAATATTATCGACCATCTCTCTCACTCTCTCGCTGCATGACAACGAATATTTAAAAATAATTTTGTATGTTTAATGAAATGAAAAATTAATTAAAATGAATCGAAGCAAAATGCTTTTCTTATGGAATTAAAAGAAAATGAAAAAAGGCAAATAAACTGTTTAGCAGAGACAGCTCCAAAGCCAAAAGCAAAAGCAAAAGGAAAGAACGTGGAAAACGTTCAACTGCGGTCACTGCACAGTGGGCAAAGTGTTCATAAAACGTGTGTGCTTTTAGTAGTAGAATAAAATAAATATATATCAGAACATCAGATAGTAAACTCGATTTATAAATATTAAAAATTATGAAAACAAAAACAAATAAATAAAATATAGTAATAATAATAAAAATGAAAGAAAAACAAAAAATATATAAAGTTTTAACAATTAACAAATGGTCGGACAAACAAGATATTGGACATGGCGCAATACTAATATACTTGATTCATTTTCGTGAATGAGCATAAGAATAAATTTTGCAATTACTATTTAAAAAAAAAAAAATTAAATACTTAAATAAAATACTGAAATAAATAATATTAAAATTATTTATAACAAAAGAACACAAGATAATATAATTTCATATATTTTGGCATATCTAAACCAAGTCAAAAACCACTGTGCCACTTGGCATTGATAAACAACCAAATTAAATTTGTTCAAAAATCTGTAATATATGTACATATGTATGCATACATATCAAAAAATATATACAGATATATATGTATATCATATAATAATTATTTTCTTTTGGACAGCGTAGACAAATGAAATGTTTTGGATTGTATATTTGAGATATATGTTGAATTTGCAGTTAAAAATAGTTTAAATTTATACACATATACGTATACATATGTGTGTGTATGTGTATACATTTTTGCAGTCAGTGGGACACTCAAATGGAGAAACAAAACACACAATTTATAAAGTCGACTCATGTTAAAGTGAAGTGCGTTTACAAGCCACCTCATACACACACACACACATTCAAACATAGAAACACCCACTCATGCACACACAGCTACACACAGTAATAGGAAAAGCTATGTCGACGCTGACGCCGACTGCGCCGCCGACGTTTGCCGCCTGCTGATGACGCGGCGACAGCATTGCGAACGGCGCCAGTTTCATGCGAAACGTACGTTGATTAACTTGTTGCATACGCGTCGCTCGAGTCCTGCTCCAGACACTTGTTGTTGTGTCGCTTGCTGTGTGTATGTGTGTGTGTGTGTGTCAGTGTGCGTGGGTGCCATAATCATTTGCGTATTGCGGGCGCCACTAAACGTCCGTCCTGCTGCTGCTCCTACTGCTGCTGCTGCTCTAGTCTCGATTCCTGCGGCGTGGCGCAACCACAAACGAAGCACTCGCAAAAATAACTCACTTAATTGAAATACGCGTTCTGATTTAATAAATACTAATTGCCATGCGACTAATGACACGAGCCGAAAGTGCGTGTAGAATCATTATGAATTAAAATTAGGAAAATAAAGCTAAAATAAATAAACATTTCATATTGTGATTAATTTTGAATTAACTTATGTTGTAATCAAACAATGATAATTCAAAGTCTTACCTCCCTTTTATATGCAGAGCGCTTAGAATTTTTAGAATATCCTCACACTCAAAGAAAATATTTGGCAGTTATGGCTCACACTTTAAAAAAAAAGTAGAAGAAAATTATGAATTTTAATTTAAAATTTTTCTCATATATTTTATAACTTTTTTAAAAAGTATTTTATTTTTATTTTTTTATAAACTATTTATTTATTTATTTTTTTTTTCATATTTTTCTGAGATAGCTTCAATTTATGGAACTCATTACCCAACACTGTTTCAAGCTCCTGCTTCACAGTTTAACAAATGGTGCCCAATTTTACGTCACTTTAGTCCCCATTTTCCATGTTGCCCAAAAAAAAACTTTTCCTTTGAATTGCTTTATTTTTAATGAGTTTTTTCGTTCGATTTTCCTAATTCTATTTCTTTGAGTGTTTTGGCTCAATTATTTTTATGAGTGTAGCAGACTAGCTAGAGAGGGCCAAGGAGGTTGGGCGCGTGGGGCAGCCGTCGATGATGACACTGAAAGACGCGCTGCTTTTGCTTTGAGCTAGCCCTAGCCCCGCCCCTGCGCCCGCCTCTGCCCCTGCCCACCACCCGTCCCACCGCATGTTATCGTTAATCGATGGTCGCCCATCAACAAAACTGAAAGCAAACAAGCAACAGGAGGCGCTTTTGGGGTTGGCTGCGCTGTCAGCGTCGCCGTCGCGGTCGACGTCGACTTTGAACAAATATATAAATATATATATTAACAGCAGCAGCAGCAGCAGCAGCAGCAGCAGCAGCAACAGCAACAGCGCAGCAGAGGCGAGCGTGCTGTGGCGACTCCTAAACAGCATGACACTTGTAGTCACGAGTAGGCAGCTTGGCGCACAAGTCGCATAACTGTAATTCACACCTGGACACTGGCCGCACGTATCCTGTGCTCAATAGAAAGAAGCCTGCTCGCTAGGCACTTCTCTCCAGGCACTTCTGCTGCTGCTACGGCTGCGTGCGTCGCTCTCAAGGTCGCGCGTCGTCGTCGTCGTCGCGTCGGTGCGGTCTAATAAAATAATTCAATTAAAAATAATCAAAATACGTCGCAGCCAAAAACGTATAGCTATATCGGATACATATATACAATATATATAAAATTTGTTTAAAATGCTGGCGGCCCAAGAGAATCGTTTTCAATATGTTTACTTTACGCTCTCCGGCTTGGTCGCCTGCATCATGCTCATTCTCTTCTATATCTCAATGCGCACAACCATTGTGAGTGCCTGTGTGTGTGTGTTTCGAACTTGTGTGCATGTGTGTGTGTTAAGTGTACTTCATCCTTGCTCACTTGCCATTGCAGAATGAACGCCTGCGCGATGATCTCAAGCAGATGCAGCGCCAATTGCTCTACCCAAAGCCCAATCCGCACTGGAACTACAACAACAGCTGGCGGCGCATTGGCAATGCCTCGCTACGGCATGAAATATACTCGGCATATTTCGATGCACGCACGGATATAGTGGGTGAGTCGAGGCTTTGAGAGCAAAGCAGATAATGTAATATAATAAAAGTGAAAAAAGTGTTCCAAAATATTCCATAAAATTGCAAGAAATAAAGTTACCATTGGAAAGTGAATTAGTATTATTATTGTTGTTATTGAAGACTTATAAAAAATTGACTAGACTAATCATTCGCTTCTCAGATTATGCAGAGATAATATAGAGACAACAGGGTTGCTAGATATGAAATCTATCAGCTTCTGAAATTCCTCTTAAATTAACAAAAAAAAAAATTTATCCACAAAGTAAATACAAATATTGAAAAAATAATCAAATGTTCAGTAGGTCACTTCTGCTAAATATAGTCACAGCAACGCACTCCGACTATATTTAATCGCTGCTGCTGTATTTAAACCAGATTTGAAAGCAGCTTTGGCTGACTCACATCAAGCCAAAAACGAGAATAAATCTTGCAAAAGTTTGCCAAAAAATAATAGAAAGAAGAAGCAGGAAAAAAACTTTCTAACTTTTATAGAAATGCAAGAGGTCGTTAACATTAATTGGAGTGTTATTCTTCACTCAGTTCAGTTTTTTTTTCCCTTCTTCTGCCAGGGGCTTAGCACTAGAGAGTGTGTAAATATGTAAATTTGAGTTTATAAATAATAGAGAAACAAAACACTCATTTATCATCATAATAAAATCAAATTGTTTTGCCGATTGCGAAACTGGGAAGATTTTATTGTGTGAATTAGTTAAAGTGGAGATAGAAGAAGAAGTGGAACTTGGGCTGGGGAGTAGTTTTAAGCTGAGCGGAAAAGCTTTGCTCTAATAGAAAGAAATATATATGTGCATATATATCTGAGGACAGCAATTTTTGGAGTATTCTCTATATGCTTTAATACAAACATATTTATGAAGACCTCAGAGTATTGTCTGTTTAGATTTCCAGCTATTGCTTAAGCTCATTTCTCTCACCTTCAAAAGACTTTTTCTTGTTAAACGACCTCTATGCTATTCAGTCTTTCTGTGATTTAAGCTCTTTCTAGATCATTTTCCTTCTCTCAATATTCACTCACTGCAAATATGTATTAAAATGGCATCACTCTAGCATTTACTACGTTGCTCAAGTCTTGCTTATGTTCCCCTCTCTCTCTCTCTCTGGTTTACATCACTCTCAATGCTTTACAGTCATTGTGTGAGTTAGAGTTAAAGGTCTGTCCTCTTCATTCTCTATATATACAATGAATACTCACTAAGCCCTTCCCTCCACCTACTCTCCTCACGATGCTGTTTAGTCTTGATTAATCAGCTTCAATATGCCTCTCACTTTCACAAACCCTTTTGAAAGTTTTAGAGCCTCGCATTCCATGACTCTCTACACTCATCTTACTGCCCTCTCATTCGTTTCACAGGCCGCGTTCGCCTGGATGAGGAGATCACAATTGGTTCGCTGCGAGTTTTCGCCATTCTGCCGGAGCGACTGCGCGACTCGCAGATCAGCTGCATCGTGCGCTTCGCAGACTTCAGCAGCTACGAGATTGTGGCCGAGGAGGCGGGCGCCATGCACGACGTGCACAACAACAGCTTCGCCGCCTGGAGCATCATGTGTCCGTTGCACGTGGCCAAGAGCTCGCCCGTGCAGCTGCCGCAGGCCGTGGCACTGAGCTACGCCTCCAATCGGCTGAGTCATCTCAGTCCCAGCTACGTGCAGATCAGGTGAGTTGGCTCGATCGGGAGTATATAGTCTGTTGCTGCTGCTAATCGAGTCCTTCCTGCCAGCTATCCGCGGAACATGTCCGAGCTGTTTGCCAAGTCGCGTGCCACGATTTCCGTGTGCGTCGGCCCCATCCAGGAGAACTACTCGAATGTGCTGCGCCTGGTCGAGTTCGTCGAGATGTATCGGCTGCAGGGCGCGACACACTTCTACTTCTACTACGTGGAGGCCAGCGAGGAGGTGCGTCGCGTGCTGGAGCACTATCGACTGCGGGGCCTGGCCGATGTGTTCGAGTGGAACGTGCAGTCGCATCTGCAGGATCTGCACTATGCCGGGATTGTGGCACAGTTCAACGACTGCGTCTATCGCGCCAATGTCGTGGACAACTATCGCTATGCGGCAGTCGTCGACCTGGACGAGGTGCTGATGCCCCTCAAGCACAACTCCCTGGCTGACTATCTGCGCCAGTGCGACGAGGGGCGCACCTCGGGCTTCGTCTTTCGCAACGTGTTCTTCTACCGCAAGGACAGCAACGATACCTTCAATGCGCCCGCCCACGTCATGAACCGGCTGCTCTACACCCAGTCGAAGGTGCGCCGCACCCTGGAGGTGCTGCCCGCCTACATCAGGAGCAAAGTCGTCGTCAACACGCGCGGCATTGTCGAGATGGGCAACCACCAGGTGTACCGTTCCGCGCCGGGCTATGTCGATCACATCGTGCACCAGACGGTCGGGTTGCTCTTCCACTATCGCGACAAGTGCATCAACTGCAAAATGGTGCTCATTGTGGACTATACGGCGCGGCGCTTTGGCTCACTGCTCTTCGATCGCGTCGACGCCACATGCCTCGAGGTCTTCATGGAGCGACATGGCATCTGCCAGCTGGCGTAGCCCCAACTGTGCCTTATCACCAATTGCCGTTAACGCCCCCAACGGAAGAGCGCCGAGTGTTGAGTGCTGCGAATCAGCGGAGCGCAGCTGATGTCCAGTCTGGAGTCAACTCTTGCAGTCGCAACATGCTTAAGTTCTGTTCGCTGCGTCGCGGGCAATCGAAGCCGACGTCGACGTCGGCAGCGGCGCCGCCTCTGCCCGCCAAACGTGTGTCCAAAAGTGTATGGCAAAATTTGTGCTTAAGCTAGTCTAAAACAAACAAATCAAATGTGCTTTAAGTTATTTAAAATATAAATATATACWATATATTTATAATATATATACGTAATTGTATGAAAATTGAAATTGTTTTCGCTTTGGCCTTTGCAGTCGTCGCTGCGCCTGCAGGATGTCGCCTTGAGCGATGCGCAGCTGTTAAGTGTGCTCAAGGCGCAGCGTGCGCGCGGCCCTTTAATATTGGCGCTCAGCAGGTGAGCCACAATTAACAACAACAGCTGCAAAAGCCCACAGTAGCAACGAATCGAAATCGCATTTGCTTAATTTAATGAGCTTTCAGTGCACAAACAACAGCAACGAAAATTGTGGAACCGGAAACGGAAGTGGCGTCTTGCCAGCATTGTGGCACGCCATATTCGACTCGCAAAACTCAAGCAGAGCAAAATGGCAGCACAGCAACAACAACAGCAACAACAATAGCAGCCACACTAACAGCAGCTGCAGCAGGTAAGCTAGCGTAGGCCTAACAGCACACTAACAGAGTTTAAGCGAGCACTAACAGTGTTGTCCATAGCGCACTAACAGAGCTCTGTTGAAGCTAACAGCATGGCCTTTACTTTAACATTTTATGTGCTTCGTTTTGATTGCTTCTCTGTTGCATACGTTTTAGCCCTTACTAACTGTGTGTTGCACTATAGATAGTTAGAGCAAGTAAAGTCCTAGATGCTAAGGCTTTGGATCTCTATTAGAATATAAATAATGAAAATAAATACATATAGTATACCAGCAGCAAACATAGCGTTGCCCGGTTCACATTTTCTGTTAACTCTTGAAATTACTCATTAATATTATTTATGCAAGGCTAGCTTAAGCATAATAATTTATTTGAATTATATAGAAAATTACAATTTTAGTTCCAAACATTGTAATATAAGATAAAATATTTATAAATATACTTAAAATTTTTCATTTTATTCTTATTAAAACTTAAAACTTTAATATACACATCAAATGCATGCCTCGCAGCTTCAAGTAGATCACAATTGATAACAATTGACGGTATCGCAGCAGGCAACTGATATCCCGGTGACTGCATTTGTTATCCTTCACTGTCCTTTGGATTGTCAGCCAATTGACAGGCACTCGGACAGCAGCTACTGCACTAGTCAAGTCCTGTCCAGTGACGCGACGCGACGAGTGAGCTCATTATTAACAGTTGAAGAGCCCTAACTAGCCGCTTACCTTTCTCTCTCTGTCTCTCACTCTCTCTTCCTCACTGTCAATAATGTCATAAAGCGGTTCACTCCTACTCCTGCTTACCTCCTCTCTCTCTCTCTCTCTCTCCCCCTCCTTCTGTATTGTCAACAATGTCATAAAGCTCACTCTGGCGTTCTTCCTCTTACCCTAATCCTACGTGTTGCCTGCGAACAGCTCAGCGCATAAACGAAAACAAACCATAAAAAAAAAAAACTATATATTCGTATACATGTATAACAAAAGCTGAAAAACAGAAACACTATGCAACACTCGGCTCGCTGGGGCAATAATAATAACTGTCGTCTGTCTATATGCTGTGTCTGACCCCGAGACCCCTTTCATGTGCCATGTGTGCTCAGTTGCTTAGGCACGGGCACTGGCGCAATTGCAGAGGAAAATAAGGAGGGGAGTGCGTGGGGGTGGGGCACATAGGGGAACACGCCCCTGCCGCTGTCGCTGACTGTTGGAGCTTGACGCGTCAACTTGTGGCATTATGTGAATGAGCGAGAAACGTGGAGGAGCGGAGACCCAAGCGCCTAAAGCCGGCAACAGGCAAATTTCAATGCCACTTAAACAAGCAAATGAATGGGGTATATTGGGCTGTTGTAATGAGTGTAATGTGTAGGATATTTATATTTGTGAATATAATTTATAATTTAATAATTTTACATAAACTAAATAAGCTAAAGTGCAATTTAAATTCTTCAAGTTTCTTTCACTGTAAACTACGAGGTCTATTCTGAAAGTACTAGAAAACTAGTTGCATGTAATGGGTAACTTTTGGGGAGAATCCACGCTGTACAGCTTTCTAACTATTTAAGCTCATTCGCGAGGGTATTTTGTGTAATTTTCCAAAGAGCTAGCGCCGATCGATTTAGTTCTAAGCAAACGGAAATAAGTTTAGTTAAAAGACGATAATATATCTAATATATGACAGTATTGCTTATCTAAAGCAAATAAAACGTAATATACGCAAATTGGCCAGTCTATAAAACAGAATGTAGATAAAGCAAGTCAGAAATGCGACGGGAAATCGAAGTATTGAAGAATTCTTGGTATATTTAAAAAAAGTGAGTCGGTTGCTTGCGTTATTAAAGTTCTTGTTAAATGGGGGTTATCGACAATGAAAAAAAAAAAAGAGTAAAAAATATTTGTAGTTCAGAAATATCGTAGAATTTTTGATCTTGAATGCAAGCAAAAAAGCTTGATCAAAAAATATATATTATTTATATAATTTACATGAATTATTTTTTATAATTTACAAAATATTATATTACAAAATATACATATTTCATTTAATAAAATCATATACATTTAGTTAGTTTAAAAATTTCTTCAGCTACATACATGCTATCAAAACTTCTCGTACAGCCCGTGCAGCTGGCAGCACCACCCGCTACATGCCAATCGTTGTCATCATTCTCCGCTCACTCCACATCATGCGCGAGTTTAAGCTGCAAGCCTGGTGCCCCTAAACCAGATGCGCACATGTACGAGTGCGACGGCGACTGCGTATGTGTTTGTGTGTGTGTGTGTTTGAGTTTGTGTGTGAGTACTTGTGCTCATATGTCTGCTGTTTGTTTGGGCTCTTTTGTTTGGCTTGGACAGCGCAGCCCGTTGATTCTGGACAGTCGAGAATGATGGGGAGAGACAGACAGGCACACACACACACACGTGTCCCCCCCTCATCGCATATTGGGCTTTGGCTCCGCACCCTTTTTGTGTCGTGTGTGCATCTGTGTGTGAATTTATGCATACAAATTGGAAAATATATATCGGATCTGTGGTTCGTGCCCGCCAAGCGCAGAGCGCGTCGAAACTAACAACAACAACAGCGACAACACAACAACAACAAAACACAAACAAATCGTCAACAAGTCACGCCAAAAGCCAAAGCTGAAGCCGGCTTCAGCGCTGCTCCCAGAGACGGCAGAGACTCGAGCCCATAGCACCCACCACGTCCGCTGACGTCGCAGTCAGCGCTGGCAGCAACAAGTCAGCGACAGGCTGAGCACAGTGGCACAAATTCAATTTGTGCAGTGCACAAAATATTACATAGTCAAATGAATGCGAATGGGCAAGGGATGGAGAAATAGAGAGAGCGAAAGTGAGATAAGACAAAGTGAAAAAGTATATTTCATATATACATATGTACGCATGAAGCATATACATAATTATCTTTATCTTTATTGAAAATAAAAGACTTGTAGATTAGATAAATTCTACATTTCTTTTGGTTATAAATTTGGCAACTTTTTCATACTCGCGTACCACTGTGCACAGACGCTAGCTCTGCCGCTGCCGGCGTGCGCGTCGCTGTCGCCAAATACGCCGTTGTTTTGTGCTATACGATACCGTAGGCCGCTGCTATTTAGTTACTACAGAAGTTTTGCCAAGTCAAGTTGTCGGCGTGAGTGCGAGTGTGCGAGAGAGTGAGCGAGACAAGAGAGAGTGTAAATACGCGAGTGCGAATTACGTGAGTGTTATTTTTGCACTAAACAACAACAGTGAAAACGATGCTGATCACAGCAGCAACAATAACAACAACAACAACAGCAACAACAAGAATAACAAGAAAGTAACAACAGTTAAGGCGCGCGCGCGAGTTAATTTGTATTTTTTGGGCTCATCAATAGCTAACCGCTAAATGTTACCCGCTACCCGCTAGCCGCTATCCGCTATCCGCTAACCGATCAACGTTAACTGTTTACCAATTGCAAGTGCGCGTGTTAAGTGGGTGTGTGTGTGTGCATTGCAGCTGAAGACACTTCACTAGAGAGAAGAAGAAACACGTAAGTTGTTAATTTTACTGCCCCTTGCCCTTAATTAACCCTCTAATCAAATTGGATCGCAAGTTCAAAGTTGAGTTTTTAATTTGTTTTTGGCTCCCCCCGCCAATCTATCTGAATCTATGCTTAGCCGCAACAAATCTTAACTGTGCTACAAACTGTTATACGCCATCGACCTTCGCTTCATTAAATATTCAAATCTGAAGTGCGATAAGCACTTATTAGGAAATATTTTTAACCATTTTAAACTATTAGGCGAAGATAGACCTAATGCTCGCCGCATATGATATGATAATTCATTATAAACTATATATGTACATATATGTATGTATATGTATACTTATTATTATGTGCCCAATAACCCAACCGAAAATGGTGCAAAATATGCGCTCCAAATTGTGTTTCTGCTGTCTGTCTCGCTATTTATATATGGATCTAGATAAATGTGCATGTATAGGTGTGTGTGTGTGAGTGTATCTAGTGTTCGTGTGATTTTTAATACGTTTTAAATTATAGTCCGCCGGGTTGTTCGAGTCGAGTTTTGGTCATAGTTCAATTAATTTTCTAATGACCGGATGCATGGGACATGCCATGCAAATGAAGTTTTTTGGTCCCGGCTTTTGGCTATTTTTGCTTAGTTGAATAGAAATTGTTTTTAATAATAATTATACAATTTCACCTGTCACAGCAGAGAATTTCGACGTAATAAATCAGAAACTTTCATTAAATAGCGCAATTCACGCATATTAAGCATACGCAACGTGCGCCCAACAATGTAAATGTGTCTTTGCGCTTACTAGTATTTATTATTTATTATTCCGCTTTTGTTTACGATGACAAAATATTTCTGATAAGACAACCGACTTTAAGTTTTTCGCAATATATAGTCTATATACAAAAGTCTATATGTATGTCCCATGCGAAAATGAGCTTCAGAATTTGTTGTCAATAAAATGATGCGTGTGTGTCTGTGTCTGTGAGTGCGATAGCAACAATAGTGCTTTAAA